CACCAATGTATAAAGCTAGTTATGATTTAAGATGTAACGAATTTAAGCTAATTGTACAAAAACCGGGGTGGGCAATAAATGCAGATGGAGAACAGATGTGGTGGGTCTTCTTCTTACACCATCTCATGCGTCTCTCTCAACCATGTTTCGTTTCCATGGAATACATTCATATTTAATTATTTAACGGCGAGCAGGGGTTTTCATTTAAACGATCAATTACTCACTCACGTGTATAGTTTTCATATATATGATTAGTGACGATAATAGTAATAATATTAATGATAATAGTTGGTCATTTTAATCTCATCATTTTATCAGTTTTTACCTATATATACAGTGACAGATCTAGAAAAATATATCATTGGGAGTAAATTTATTTTTATTATGAATGAATATAATTTTATGGGGTATTTTCTAATTTTATTTAAAATTTTACAAAATTTATATATAAAAAAATAATGAGTTGAATGGGGGTATATGCCCCCATATTGTTACATATAGATCCGTCACTCTATATATATATATATATATATATATATATATATGATATATCCATGCGAATGTCCACGGTTGAATATGTAAAACAAAGTAATTATAGAACTTAATTGCTTTTATGGATCAACTTTTTTTTTGCAAGGAATTATTCCAAAAACCTATATATGTCCCATAATGCAAACGCCCGAAATTTTCTGTTTTACCCATAAATTGAATACGCTCCCCAAATCCATTAAAAAAAAAAGATGCTTATTTGCAGAAATCAACATATTTGTGTCGGTGGAAAACAAAAGAAGAAAAAGCGTTATAAAGAAAACCACCAACAAAAGATTCGAACGTTGAAATGCTTCAAATAATAGAAAAAAAAATGAAAAATCATATATATATACACACACACACATATATATTTCAATATTTGTGTGTACAGATATATATATATATATATATATATATATGTATATTATCGGTGATTGGTGGGTTAAAAAATAGAACCAATGAGTGTAAGATTCGGAGATTGATATAAATGGTGGGTTGGCAGCTTGCAACTACCAATTTCATATGGTTTCACATAAATTACAACTTTCTCTTTGTTTGGTCCCACTTGTCTCAACATATATATATTGGCTAAAATTAAAATTAAAATAACTCATACATTAATATATATACACCCCCTTTAATCCTTTATATGTTCAAATACAATTCACAAAGTTTCTTTTGAAATACCCTCCGATGTTCTTAATATTAAAAAAATAGGGTAATTTTGGTCACTCGTGATAATGATGTGTATGGAGAGAAAATAACGCATTGAAATTAGGAGTTACTACTAACGAATGCTTTTGACTGTTATTGATATTCCTGATAAACTCTTTACAATATGCTATAGTTTGAATCACTTTAATTAGTAAAAATAGCCAAAAAAAATAAAGAAAAAAAATACCAAAAACAATTAAATCGAGGAATACTTTCGACCCTTTTGTTATCTCTCCAATATGTATTTCTTCTCCTCATTGACAAAAAGGAAGAAGATCGACTGTAATCAAACATTCGATTTTGATAGATTGATCGATACACAAAAAACGTTTTAAAAATGGAAACGGTGGACACAAAATGAGGTTACAAAACGCAATATAAACGGCGGTTAAGATGGTATTTAATAAAAGATGTTCCAATTTAAAAGGACTACAACTCAAGTTTAGATGATGATCTAGTGGTAACAGAACATGCAAAGTATGTTGTTACCACGAGTTCAAATTCAAGCGTGGAAAGAGGTATTAGTCTAAACTTTTCCGGTTTGTTGACAGGTATAATTGGACCAAAGATCCGGCGAACTTTCGTGTTATCAAAAACAATAAATTTAAGAGGACTACATGGATTTGCCCATCGAATGCATTTTCTTCTTGTTTTGCCTGAATTTGATACCTTTTTGCTTAGTAGCTGGAAATTTAATTTAATTTTTTTTTAAACGTGGACACTTGAAAAAAAGAACCATGTCTACTTTGATTTTTTCCATCACTGGTTAGTAGTGTCACAATTGACGACACACGTACTCTACATACATGACCTATAATAGACACAGACACATGCGTGCGTGCGGATTTTTCCTTCTTAGCTGTTACGCCATTGTAGATCTATATCTGCAGCTGTATACTGTGCGCGCGGTTTTAATTCGCGGGACATGCAATGTCGGGAAATGAACATGTGATTTGATATTGTCTGTAACACAACCAAAATTTTATGTTTCTCTGTTGAGAAAAAAAAAAAACCAAAGTTAATACATCGATAAGATTACATACATGTGTATGAGGGAGACAGACCGAATCTTATCCATTCCAAGAAGTCATGGGTGTATGACGTCAGCGTTGTTTGAAAATCGAGGAAGGAATGGGATTTGGGCAAAGCTATCGATGTAGCTTTATTGGGTTTGACACTATTCATTACTGCTTTTCTTTTTGGGCAAAACGCAATTAACACATCTTTCGCGAGGTTAAATTCTCCGTGATATACGCGAACACGTGGTGGAATAATCTTATCACAATCAAAACAACAAGGACCGATGACAAGTCGCCACGTAAGCTCAAGAAATAGTATGTTTCAGAACGCGATTCCTTTTGACCACCGGCTCACTTGTTGTTCTTGCTCCAATCTTTCTATGACATGAGATGGAATCCCAGGTAATAAATCAAACTCCAACTTTGTTCTTAATTCATGAACTCGGAGAGTTCACTTCCTAAGACTCTGGAACCAGTGAAAGCATAGACAGACACAAACACACTGAGTTACAAACATTTAAACCCAACACAAATCTGATACATTAATAAATTCTAAAAAAAAAAAAAAAGATTTTCAGCCTTTTAACTTTTGAAGGCTTATAGCAGCAAGTCTCCTGCTCTCTCTCCTCTTCATCGGCTTGTAAATGTCCTCTTAACCAGAAATCCCCCTGTAACGAAACAGATTACTTAACGGATAATAGCCGCATCTCACAAATGATATATCACACATATATTTTCAGCGCTTTCTCCTTCCTGAATCCCCTTCTCTGCCTGAATCCACCTTACCAATTTCAGATTCTATAGCTTGAGGTATACAACAGGGTGGGGCTAAAAAAGAGGATGTGACCAAGTTGCTAGCACTCGTAAATCATGGATGCAAGTGTTATAAGGGGACAAGGGCTTTACCAATTTCTGTGGATATACCGATACACCGGTCCAGGATGAGAAGTAATATCCAACCTTCATAATAGAATGCTAGTGAAAGCCACCAGCTCGGGGGCGCTCATATGGGCCACGGTTGTATCTATCACCTCCAGCACGGTCTCCACGATAGCCGCCTTCTTTGTTATGCCCCCCAGACCGGTCTCCACTACGATCAGGTCCGTAACGACCAGAACCACCACCGCCATATCTGTCATCCCTTGCACCATATCTCCCCCCACTTCTACTTGTTTCAGAAGGACACTCCCTAGCAAAATGTCCCGGCTTGCCGCATTTAAAGCATTCTCCACCACCAGAGCTACGCCCACCACCATAAGAACGGTCACGTTCGCGATAACGGTCACCATCATGATGATCCCTGCCCGACCCTCCCTGATGAGGCTGGGCTCTGTCAACAGTTATAGTTCGGCCATCTAAATCCATGCCGTTCATTGCCGCAATTGCATCATCCATAGCTTTTTCCTTGTCAAATGTGACAAACCCGAAACCACGGGAGCGCCCAGAAAACTTGTCAACAACCACCTGTGTGAAAAAAAACAAGGCTTCATCACATCAGATTTTCGGCAGTACAGCATTTACAGCTCAAACAGATCAGTGAAGTTCCGTAAATAGATTAAAAACAAGGGAGGTCCATAGGCAAAACTCGCCTAAACTTGATCAAACCATCCATATAAAGGTTCAGCGCATTCACTGAGCAGACAAGGGGAGAAAGGGTTTTTCACCTTGACCTCAAGAAGGCGGCCGAACTTTTCAAAGGCATCCCTAAGGCCACGATCAGACGTTGACCAGGAAAGGCCACCGATGAAGCAGCGGTACTCTAGCTCTTCCGACATTTTACAATCAACTGCGATCGATTTTAGGAGAAAGCATATATCAATCAAGCAGCCCATCGAATATAATTACACATCGCAGTAGCTCTTTCTGCGCTACAGAGATTGCAGATTCAGCCTTATGCACACGGCAAGAAGAAAATGGCTCACATCGACACCGTGAACTAAACCTAAAACTGGAAACTAACATGGAAACAACACAACGAGGTCGAATCTGACAAACCGGAGAATCAACGGTACAATCTAAATCAAAATCAAAACCTAAATTAGGCAAGAACAATCGGTAGACGCAGATGCTGAATAAAACCAGGCCGAACCCAGAAAATCTTAAGAGTAACGATCGAAAGCACGTATGCCTACCAGAGAGCAGAAAAGGGCGAACTGAAGCAACCCCCTCGGTCAGTAGGAGATGCAATTCAGAGGGGCAAGGCGATAAAGCTTTCTTTATATACATATATATCAACAATGGGGGAATCTGATTCACTGAGAAATGGGCCATTCTGGGCTTCAGGAAATGGGCCTAAATGGGCTCAGTGTGCTGAAACGGGTCTGAATAAATGGGCTTAGGATGGGGGAGGAGGTTTGGTTATTTGTCGCCGTCGTCTTGTTTAGTGCAACAATTAGTATTTATTTACGTATGTTTTGCAACTGGAATAATTTAAGTGTTACACACACACACATATATATATATATATATATACACCTATAATCAGGGTTTATGCAATTGATCAATGTAAATTAGGAGCTGATTACTTGGTTGGTTTTACACAATCCTCTGTTTTATTAATTAGAGATACTGATTATGTGACAATTTTAAAAGAGGCTCCCTAATTAATTTCATTAATTTGGGTTGTCTATGAAGTGAGAACCCAAAAAAAAACAAATATTCTTCAGCTATATGAAGTGGGTTGGCAAACATGTTTTGTTTGTTTCATATTTATGATTCATTATCATAAGATCATACAAATTATTTATCTATAGTGTTGATTAAGTAATTATCGTTGAGTCGGAAATCTAATAAACCTTCTAGTTATAAAAAAGTAATACATGAAAGCTACATTACAATCAAAATTAAAATAATTAAGTTTATTTAAAACTAACAAGATTATTATGCGTAAATATTTGTCTCAACAATATTAACGAGTTTTGCGGCATTATACATGTATTGTAAAGTGAACAACATGATTTATGAATTTTTATATTTCATTTGATTAATTGCATGTAACAAAAAAAAGTGGCAAGCAAAAGCTAGTACATTTTTTTTTAATTCGGACATATTGAGAATTTTGTACAATTTTGCTCGTATAGATGCCAAATGGAAAAAATAGATTTATAATTTCCATTTTTCCGCAATGTGAACAAGCTGAAACGACATTAGACTTCTGAAGCTTCCGCTTCATAATTGTAGTTGACACCCTATCAGGTCATTACACGTGTCAAAATTGGTGGAGCCTATTGAAATAGAAACAAAATATGGAGATTTGATATAATTGATAATAATTAAAGGCATAATATCGATTAAGAATAAAATATATATCGTGATAATTATATTTTGCCTTATTTGTTTCTTTCGTATCCTTATTTCCTTGTTTCTTTCAATAATTTTTCCTATAAATGTATGGATTATTTTTATTGTAATGTAACAAGAAGAAGAGATGTAGCAATAAAAGTGTTTCCGTTCTTTTATCTTTTGTTCTTTCTTTCTAATTTAATTTCCGCATTTTATTTTTCAATATGGTATCAGAGCCTGGTTGCGATCTGAACTATATGTTTCTCTTTTTCTAATTTTCTAATCTCTTCTTTCTTTTGCGTTTTGGATGTTCATATATCCAAATCGTTCAAAGGGAGAGTAAAAAAACCAGATTCAAACGATGTGCTATGACAAAAAGAAGTCAAAGCTAAAAACTCTAAGATCAAGCAAGATGCTATGACAAAAAGAGTTAAAGCTAGAACTTTAAAGTCAAGCGAAGTGATTTGAAAGAGGTTAATACTCTCTAAATGAATGAAATTTGGTTTCTATGGATTGTTCTAATAACAGTGAAGTTTTTCATCATTTTGTTGTATCTTCAAGATTGATTTTTGAATTCTTTCAAAATCAATCTTGAGGGGGAATGTTGAAATAGGAAGAAAATATGGAGATTTGATATGATTGATAACAATTAAAGGCATAATATCGATTAAGAATAAAATATATATCGTGATAATTATATTTTGCCTTATTTGTTTCTTTCGTATCTTTATTTCCTTGTTTCTTTCAATAATTTTTCCTATAAATGTATGGATTATTTTTATTGTAATGTAACAAGAAGAAGAGATGTAGCAATAAAAGTGTTTCCGTTCTTTTATCTTTTGTTCTTTCTTTCTAATTTAATTTCCGCATTTTATTTTTCAATAGAGCCCACACAAACTAAATTCAACAATATCATTCGCCAAGGATGCGTAAATTCGACGAAAACTTGGATGATGATGATAATGATACTTATTATTATTATTATTATTATTATTATTTCAATGTATTGTCATGGTTTTTTTTAATTAAAAAAAAAACGGAGGGGCATACTCATACGATCAGATCGTTCAGCGAAAACGACACGTGGCACATATGACTAAAGCGGGACCATGGATAAACTAAACGATAAAACATTACTTTTTGGAGTGGGGCCCAGCACAAAAGGTATCCACTATATTTGGGCCTTTCTTCTCAGTCTAACTAACCGCCTCGACATGTCTTGTCCAAAAGAGCCTGGATCGCTTGGAAGTAGAGCTGGTTCGATCCTGGCCGTACACGCGTCCCTTCACGTCGACAGATTTCACGTGGCAAATTGTTATGAGGAGTGTAAAGATATGTTTTTTTAAAATTTTGATGGAATGTGTGATAAGAAGGTACCTGCATATAATCTAAGAAAAAAAAATGCATATATCACATGCATGCATCCCTAACCATTACGAAAAATATTGATATAGATATTTGAACAAGAAGATAGAATTCTAGAATTCTCGTCGAAATGTTCACACGTGTATTTTTGCTCTTTTACTTCATAAGGGGACATTAGTATTTTGCTCTTTTACTTCAATCATAATACGATAGAACTGCTTGAATCACGAAGCAATGTGACAATATCATAGTAGATTCCTAAACAAAGTAAAAAAAAAAAAAATGAATTGAATTGAATTTCGGATTGGTCTAATTATTAATCTTAATGTAGTTGTTGATGTAAGTACAAACCTAGAAAAAATATCTATTGGATTGTCTCCACTATACCCTTCTTGTATACGCGAATATATATATATATATATGCATGTGTGAATCAAATTTTCCAAGGAAAAAAGGGAAAATGATATATGCAGGATGGAACCGCCAAAGAAGATACATAAGACGTGAAAAGAAAAATTATGACGGTATAGATTTCGTTAATTTTTCCAAGGGAAAAGTTCTCCTTAAAATACAAATTCTGACTGTATAAATTTTGTTAATATGCAAATATATTCGGGAGATTATTCAGTCCAAAAAGCTTTTTGGATATATCATTTTTTAGATGCATGCAAGTGGTAGATTCCGGTTGAAGAAACTGTTTAGGTAATTAATTAGGGCTGCTAAGGCTCTCTGGTCACGATGCAATTGCTCATTACTGTAACATGCGTGTATATATATATATATATAAATTAATGATGAAGATATTAAATCATGGGTTAGGTAAAAGATAAGATAGATCATAGTTTTGATCGGTTGATTAGTCCAACATGTAATAACTATCTTGCTTTTAATGATTTTGACTTTAGGAAGCCGTAAAAACAGATATCGGTGTCATTTAGAAGATAAAAATATTGAGAGAGGAAGTTAATTGGATCTCAAAATTTTCAGTTTGAATCGGTCCAGCATTGATTATTTTTAAGCCACGTGAAAATTTAAAATATGTCGTGGATACGTTGTATATTTAATGGCAGGGTTACTTCTTTCGTGACCATCGGCGATATTAATCCTATGATTTTATTATATATAATATATATGAATTCTATACTGCAGCAATATACATACATGCAATATGGATTGTTTTATAAATTGATGCGAAGGCTGTTTTTTTTGTACGCGTGTGTGTATGTATATATAGTTTTATGGTTATGCATAGTTCATTAATTTATTTGGAATTGAGATAATTATATATATATATATATATATATATATTTGGTGACACTAACAAGAGCTGGATTACAGTAAGAGCTATGGATTACATGCTAATAAATAAGTAATATGGGTCCATCATTGTCACATCATTTAAAGAGGCCCCACAAATTTCAATCGGTCGTAATCTCTCTCATCAGCAGATGCCACGTGTCATCGGTCGATATTAAACCCTAGTGAACTGCCTATATAATAATAATTACGATATAATCCGTCGAGATCCAAAAAGAGGAGCACGGTCGTTGACTTGTGAGTTTTCTTAGTCTTCTTCTAGAAACTGTAGGAAACTTTACATAAACTATACTTTTAATTAGAAATACGATTATAGTTAATTATGAATGAGCAAATCATATATATTCCCTATCATTTTGGAACTCATTGCAAACACAACGAAATTAATGTTTGTGTGCATGTGAGTCTGTGATCAATTTTTATTTTAAGAAAAAATATATCACAACTTCAAGTAATCAAATTATACTATATAATGTGAAAAGTTAACATAGACGGTTCAACATCTTTATCCCTTACTTTCAAGTAGAAAAAAAAATATTTGTATCCCTTAACTAGATGTCAAAGATTCGAACCCTATCTTCAGATCGGAATAATCCTTTACGTCAGTTCATTATCGTTTATTTGTGCTGCGACCGAAAATTAATCTGAATATGCAAGATTTAAAGATAGTTTATAATTGAACACCATCCAAAACACCTCGTTGTATAAAAAAAAAATCATATTATATACTAACTAAAATATTTTGTATAAGGGGCAGTAACAAGTCAACACATTTTCTATCTAAGTCGAAAAATTCGATTAAGTACTCGAACTAACTTGTTTGCATGTCGGCCAAAATCTTATTACAATATATATATTTCTACGTGTGCGTATACAAAGGACCAAAAAAAAAGGCGAAGGGAAGACAGAGAAACGTGAGAACTTTTTCTTCCTATAAAAACAAAAAAAAAAAAATCACAAGAATTCATAAAAATAGCTCTTATCTATTTCAGTTTGATTTGTCTTCTTTCGGTGCCACCCCTCTTCTTTCATTCATACTGCATTTATCAGCACCACACACAGTTTTGCATCCCATTAAGGGGGGGAGAGAGAGAGAGAGAGAGAGAGGATCGATGGCTGACTTTTGGAAAACAAGAGAGTAAATGCTTGTCCATTTTGATTCCTTGGAATCAAACCCCACATCCTCCCTCTCTCTCTCTCTCTGTACAATCATATCTTTACTCACCAGTAGTTTGATTTGATTATAGCCTGTTAGAGTCAGATTTCTCTCTCTATAAATATAAGCACCATCCTCTCTCCTCTCTTCCCCGGACATAATAACCAAACCCATTTGGATTCTGGTCTTAACCCTAATAACCAAACAAGAGCACACAATCTCTTGCAAACACATACACAGAGAAGTCAAATATATATACATGGGTATATATATATAGAGAGAGGGATGGGAAGACCACCTTGCTGTGACAACATCGGTGTGAAGAAAGGGCCATGGACTCCGGAGGAAGACATCGTCTTGTTTTCTTACATTCAAGAACATGGCCCTGGCAACTGGAGATCTATCCCTACTAACACAAGTATATATACATAACTCGCTAATCACACTCTTTTTCTTTTTCTGGATGAATGACATAAACTCTATAATCTTTCCTTGGTTTATGATTCTTGTTTTAATTAATTTGGTTGGTATGACCATTAATTAATATATATGCAATAAATAACCGCTTTATGGCACCAACCCTTCCGTCTCCATCTCCTCAAAAAGCTCTCTTCCC